GACATCCCATCCTACATCAAAACAGAGCAGCTGCTCTGCGCCACGTGGTCCAGAGCCATGTTATTGACCAGCCTTGCATTGAACTAGGGTGCAAGGCTGAGATGGTTTGACAGCTCCTCTTTTTGGCTATCACCTTGTTGCTGTTGTGTGCTGCAGCATCCAAGCATACCTTCAGGCTTTCCAGCCCTCCTTCAGCAAAGGATTTCCAGGGCAGGAGCCTGTTTGCCCTCTCTTTTGCCGCCCGGTGCAGTGGGGTTGTCCGGGACACAATTAAAATGTTCTGTATCTCTTACAACTCAAGGTCTCCAGGGCATGGATTTTTTGGAAGGCTGAGACCAGGTCTATAAAAACCAAGATTTAATGTCCCTTTATCTTTCCCATAGAGGGACTTGTTCTTTTAACTGGCTCAATATCAATACACCCAGTGTGTAGAAAGTGGCCCAATTTCTTTGTCTTCTGACATCCTGAACCCAGAAGCAGATGGACGTTAACCAGCTCTGATGAGTTGGGAGAATCAAGCATTAATTTTTTATACGCCAGGACCACCTGAGTGACGGAAATCAATTACAGCTGCCCCTCCCCCTTCCATATTAATGTGGTGGCTCCGAGCAGAGACGGAGGAACCTGTTGAAATGAGAAACCCCTATTTCTTAGTTTGACCCCCTAGATAATTAGGGTTAAATTGATATGCTATCGCACTGGTGACACATTTTATCTGCTTCTGTTTGTACAAGAGGATACAATAGTGGAGGAAGGACCAATTTGTGCCCTGCTCTAGCTAACCAGACCGAGATAAAAGGTGTCACTAGTACGATAACGTTCTTGTCTCATGCTCCTTTATTGTTGCTCAATTTGCCTTTTTTTTTTTTTTAATCCTGTTCTTTTTCTTTCAATACCCTTGGTCATATTTTAACTCCATGCCATCGCATAATGACGCCCTGCTAAATGTGTGTGGAGATAGGCAACTCTGGCTGACAGCCTTCCCTGATAACCGAATTCCAGCCCATCCATCACTAGGCTGCTCTCCTTAACTTAAGGAAAGTGATAACTAAAGAAGGCCGTTTATCACCGCCGAGCTGTGCGCTTCTTGCCGCCTTGGAGAGAGCCGGCTTCAACAGGAGAAATGCAGCCATGTCACCTCGCCTCCCGTTTGCATCCCGTTCATCTCCAGGCTCTATTTACCCCGCAGAGTGGAGGAGCAGGGCTGAATGGAAATCAGAGCCTGGGGTGGTAGAGCTCTCTGAAAATGGTGCAGAGCTGCTGCTGCTGACTGCAGTTCAAGGAGGACTTGGACTTGCTTGGCTGGCAGAGGAGAATGTGCTACCTGCTGTCACTTGCTGTTCTGTCCCAAGGGGACCTGTGTTTTGGGAGCGGGCAGAGGTTGTGCGCTCGCATCTCTGCTTCTGGGAGGACAGATTACCAGAGCTGCATTGGAGGCTGGAAAATCCCACAGCCATTTTCAAGTTTCTCTTTGTCACGTGCAGTCATACCTGAAGCCATGGCGTTTGGAGGATGGAGTGGTTTTGAGACCCAGCTTCCTTCCCAAGGGGTGAGAACTTCAGTGTTTGGGAAGGCAGCAAGACCGTGGTCAAGAGCTGGAAGGATCACGGGATGTTTGAACGCAGTGAAATGTGCCATCATTTATCTTCTCCCTCACCTGAGGGAGGGATGAATCCTGAGCTCTCTGCTCAAGCAAAGCTGCCCCCAATGATCAAGGTTGAATTTTGTGAGAGCGAGGAGCCATACTGAACATAAGAGTGCAATTACCAAATGAGCTGCTCAAATGAATGGTGATCCTGGTAAATGGAGATGCTTCCTTACAGACCCTGGCACTTCTCTTCCCCAGGAGAGCCACAGGTGTGCCTTGTTCACTTCAACCTGGAGAAGATGCTGGAGAAAGTCCAGCTTGGTCACCAGGCTGAGGAGTGGGGGACCACTGCAGGTGACAAGCTTGGAGCGTGTCAAAAAAAGACAATGCAGGGATGTTTTCTGTCCTGTAGCTCCCTGGGGACCTGGTTTGTGTGCCACGAGAGCCCCTGGTTCCCTATGCTGGGAGTGCTGCATACCCAGAGCAGACCAGACCCATAGGACAATCCTTCGCTGAAGGCAAGCGCATTGAGTTGGCTGTATCCCTGCTGGCCTGGAGCCACCACACCTGCACCTTCCAGCTCGGGAAGTATGCTGACGCTTTGGTCCGTGCTGCTGAGAGCCCACCCAGGTTATAGCATGAGTGTAGGTCTTCTAGTATTTGAAAAACTTGGTGAAGTCTCTCTGGTGCTAACATAAAATGAGGGGAGCACAAGTGCGGAGGGGGAGGGGGAATGTCCTTAGGTCACACGGCTTCACAGGCTGTTTCTGGGGTTGTTACTTGTTTGCAAAAATGGGCCATTTATTTAGTTGACATATTTATTTGGAGCATTTATTTTCTCCAATTAAAGGCCCACTGTCCAGTGCCCAGGGCGTACTGCCATCAGTCTCAGGGTGGAAGTAGAACCAGACTGTCCAGTTTGCTGGGCCTGTTGGTCCCACAGGGATGGAACGCTTTAGATGTCATTCATTGTGCTGGGTGGTTAGCTGTCAAGTCCTGTGGATAAGAAGAACGATGCTGTGCTCGCTTCTTCTGTGCCCTATCCAAATGTTAAGCAAGATTATGATTATTCCTCTAACAGGAGCTAAGCTGAGACCTATATTAATGAAAACCTCTTGGACTGGGAGGAGAAACGCAGCTTTTAGTAACATACCTTTTGCTAACTGCTGTCATCATCCTCTCTATCTAAATGTGAGCAGTGTAAGGAGAGGTTAAGCTGATTATGTGTCTGTATTAGGCCGGTCATTTGTTTTAGATGGTTCCTTTTCTTGTGATCTTCTTTTAATTTGAGCACCTGCAGAAAGCAGCTTTCCTGGAGGAAGAGCTTGCTTAGTGTGCTGGCTGGGGCTGGTGGGGTCTCTTCAACCCCAGGATGTCATGGACATATGTGTAATGGCTGTAAAATGCATGGACCGGGCTGCTATTTATGTGACGGCTATGCAATTGCGAGGAGTGACTCCAGGTGGTTTATTTCAGCGCGATGGTGCTAGCATCAGATGAGCCGTGCCCAGAGATGAGACCATGCTGTCAAGTCACATTGCTTACCCTGCAAATCGCCGTAGCCCTGCTGCGTGCAAGCTCGTTCTTTTGACAGGCTTCCTGCTTTCAGAGAGATTCCTCTGGACCGCCTTTATTCAAATGTGTTTGTATGACTTAAATTATTGCTCCTAAATGATGACATGCACATCCTTTTGGGACCAGGCACAGAGAGTCTATTCCTTTCTTAGCCTAAGCAGGGCTCACAAAGCCGGGACACTGCTGGGACCCAGTGTGTGCCGGCGTCGTTGGCCACGTATTCCCAGGAGATTCTCCTGGATATGTTTGCCAGCTTCCTTCCTTTTCTTCCCATAGAAATGGAGGCAGCACCAAGACCTGGTACTGCACCACCCGGAGTATCACATTACCTGCAAATACACTGTCTGTGTCCCTCCATCGTGTTACGTGGGAAACTGCTTATAGGGCTGAAGAGATGTTGCCCTGTTCATGAGCGGGTTTGGAGCTGGGCTGAGCACTCGGGTACTGCTTGAGGTGCTGATGGTGCACCCCAGATTAAGGCAGCGTATGCAGTTTGTGTCCACATCTGACGGGAGCTCCTTCCTGAATTTCAGCCTTGAATCCAGGCTGGATTATTCACTCTTTCCCCTATGGAGAGCGGGAGAAGACTTTGCCGTGGACATGGTCTGTGTTGGGATGTTTGAGCAGCTGATGCTGGCCCTCACAGCTATTCCCTTCTCCCCTACAACCTCCCTTGACAGCCCCCAGATGCCCGAGGAAGTTGTGAGATTCCCCACCCCCTTCTGTTTGCAAAAGCCCATTTCTGGGGTTGTGGCTTTTAACATGCACAAATGGCTCTAATTTAGTCATTTATTTAGTTGACATATTTATTTGGGATGTTCCTTGGCTTCAGTTAAAGATCCTGTGACCAGTGCCCCCGGCGTGCTCAGCAGTACGTGAATGAACAAGATCCATCAATTACTCTTGATCAGATCAAACCGGCCGGGGAAAACTCCCGTTACTCATCTCCCCGCACAGGCTTGGCTGGAGCCGCACGGCTTTGCGACTCAGCCTTCCCGGCTGCTGACGGAGAGGAGGGTCGACACAGTGTGGGAGAAACAGCTTTCCAAATCCTGGGGTCCTTCTGTCCCTTCAGGCAATCCGCCTCCCTTACCGGTGCCGTTTTGTTTTGTAAGCCCTATTCCAGCAGCTCACTGTAGCAGGGAGAGGTTAAATACATGCGCTTGGAGCTCTGGCTGCTGGTGCTCAAACCCGTAGCGAGACAGCGTGCAGCGCCCCGCATCTTCAGAGCTGGGACTGCTCTCTTCTCCCAAGCACCTGCTCGGAAAACAGCCTCTGCTTTCTTAGCCTTAAAACATCGGTTCTGCAGCATTACTACCCCCAAAAATGAGTGCATCGGTGCCTCCTTCCCTCCCTCATGTGTTGATGTGTTAAAACACCTCACTTGGTGTTTTAACCATAAAGGGGCATGACAAGTGAATTGTCAGTCCTTCTGTCTGCCCTGTAAGCTGCTGGCTGAGCAGGATGGTTTTGCAGGGATTTGTGATGAGTTCATTTAGCTAAGGAGAGCCTGGATGCTCCGGTCATGTTTGTGTGTTAGCCACTGTGGAGAAGAGCTGCGTGCTGCACGTGCACACAGCTCCTGTTCAAAATGTTCATCCTGGAAGGTGTCAGCAGCCTGGATGTGGTTGGATGTATGTAAGTCTTCAGCCAAGCTCTGCTCTCGTGAGATTATTTATTTTTTTTTTTGCCCAGAGCTACGGTCCTTCTGATGTGCAGCGTGTTACAGCAGACTTGAGGGTCTCTTCCATCTCAGAACGAAATGTACTTAAGAAAACAGAGTTTGTGTTGTCAGGACACTGATTGAATCAAACCTGCTCTCTCTTCTCTCTTACAGGTTACCAGGACAATGCCAGTACTTAGGGCTGCCGGTTGCTGATTACTTCAAACAGTGGATTAATCTGAAAAAGGTACTTTTGTGCAAACTGCCATGGTCCCCGTCTCCCTCTCTCCCCCCTCCCCTTGTCCTTCTCCTTTCCTCTCGAAGGAGGTGTCTAATAACTACTGCTGTTTTGCATTGAAATGAGTTATTTTCTCAGAAGCTGGGCTGAGCGAGTCCTCTGGCTCCCTATTGTATCTCCTCTAATAGAGTCTTACTGTACTTGATGGGATGTGTTCTGCAGCTGGGGAGAATCCCATTGTGGCGGGCACAGTGCGGTGTCTCCGCATAATAGTGGGACACTGTGAGGCCCCTCTTGAGCGAAGGTTGTGTTAGCCCCAGCGTTGCTGACTCCGTTTTGTTTTGCAGCCGCGTGAGGCTCCTAGGAGCACAGTTCCCTTCAGATCAAATTCCGGTTGATAAACATGTGGAATTATTCCAGTATAAAATCAGCATTTCCCTTTGTGGTGTGGGGGAGAGGGGACATGTCTCAGCAACGTGTCCACCAGTGGTCACTTTGCAATGCAAAATGCCTTGCACTTTAGAGTCTGGTGTCTTGCGTTGCTCCATGCCTTCTCTGGCTGGTTAAGGAGCAGCCTGCCGTGCATCCAGAGGGTCTCCTGGCACAGCTCCTCCATCTGCTCAGCAAAATTTGGTGATGCCATAAGTCACAAATGAGCGGGAAGAAAAGAACCAATGTGATTACAAGCAGTAGCAGGGTGAGGGGCTGGCTGGGGTCTGTGCACAAGAGAAACTGGAGTGGACCTCCTGGTTAGACCTTTGGATGAGTAAGATTCCCTTCCCCCATCCAATTTAATGTTTTATGTGGGTTTCTGTGCCTTTTCCTGATAATTAGGCGTCTTGGTAAGTGGAATTTGCTTGTAAACAGCTTGTTGTACTTGTGGGCTTTTCTTTTGTTCTTTTATTTATTTATCGTTTTAAATGGAAGCGTGAGTGACAGGCTGAGCGGCCGCAGAAGGACAATTTGCATGATCTGTTCCGTCAAATAGGGTAGAACATGAACTTAACAAGGGATGCTGGCAGCACATTCCCGGCTGAACTTGTCAAAGGGTCTTGTATTTCCCTGCTGTCAGAGCAAATCTTTTGGCTGATTGCTGGTCCTTGGTAAATGAAATCTGAAAGCACATTGGGGCATTCTGCAGTTCAGTGACCATTAATGATTGCCATTTGAAGTTCACTAAACTTCCGGTGAATGGATAGCAGCTATATAACCAGCAGGTTGATGGCTGCAGAATAATAATATTTTAAAAAAAAAAAAAATATCCCTGTGTACCGTGATGTTTGCTAAGAAGTAGGTTGATCCAGCCGGGCTCCTCCTCTGGGCCTCAGATTGAACAACTTATGGCTCTTTCCCATAGTTGGAGGCTCCTGGATTTAGTGCGTTAGGAGCTGGGATTCATCGTAATGTGGACATCCAGGCAAGTGGCTGTTCTTCAAGGTGGGCATTCATGTATTGGGCTTCAGCAAGTACTGTGATACTAAGTTGAGGGCTGGTGAGCATCCGTGAAGTACCAAGCCCAGTCCTAAAGGCAGAAGGAGGAGGAAAGCGCTCCCCTGCCAGCTTGCTGGAGGGGTCACCGGCTGAGTGGGGGCATGCGGGATGGAGCCTGTGTCTTCTTGTCCCCCTCTACAGGTGTGTTACTCAGAAAGGAAGGCTCCAGTCTCCTTCAGATCATGCAGTGAGGGGATGTGTTAGAGATGTCCATCTTCCTCCAACCCCTCCAACCCCTCAAAAATCTGAAGTTTTTCTGATGCTTTAATACTTGATGCCTTGTGACACAGGGTGGTTCCAGGGTCCCTGAGCCCTTCTGGGAAGTGACCCAGATTGAAGACAAGAGCAGGGACCTCTCCTGTCCTGTGGCTAAAGAAGTGCCTCCTCTGGGGCTTGCTCCTACCTCAGGGTGAGGATCTTTCCATGCCACTCACTGCCCTGCTCTCTGGGGGTGCTTGTAGGGGAACTGCCTGTTTGTGTTCACAAGAGAGGATTTCTAGCCTAGGTAAGTAACTCTGGCCAAGCAACAGGACCCAATGGGACCTCATTCTCTTTTGAGTGAGCTCCCAGTGTGAGACAAATAAGGTTGGGCACGTATCTAGCCCCCCTGCTCTTCCCTGCATAGCTCAGGTGGCCCCTTTTCCCCTCCCTCTGGCACGTTCCTTACTTAGAAATACCTCCTGGGCTGAGTCTGCCTCTGACCTGATCCATGAAGTGAAGGTGTTGGGGAGGGGGTGGTGTGAAGCTGCTAATTTCTAGGTCATGGATAATGCAGAGACTTGGATGTTTCAGATGTCGGGAAAACAGTTCATGTGAGTGTAAATGGCATGTGTGACTGAGAGCAGTTTCCTGCATCTGCTGGCTGTCCTTTGGGTCTCTGCTTGTGAGCAGTGATACCAAGTGGACCCTACTGAGTTAGGGAACTGCTGCTGCAAATACAAGGCAATGCAAAAGAGTGGGATTACGTACTGAACGGTGTGTGCATGGGGCAGACGTGTTTGTGTACTTGTGTGTGGTGTGGTAGCGACAAAACACGTTCCAGATTCCTTCTGCTCATGCACACATGGCTTCAGCTCCTCTTTCTCTCCTTTTTGTTTCATTTGAAGAAGCAGTCTTTGTCTGTGCTGCTTCTACCAGAGAGCGGGGACGCTCCACAGCTCAGCAGCCCCTCTTCCCAAGGTGGTGAGATGGTCTTTCTCAGGGTTCGTTCTCCAATAAACTCCTTCCCTTGTCACTTCTGTGCTGTAGGAGCAGTTGAGGTGAGCACCCTGTGCCTCCAGGCCTCTTTCAGAGTTTCCAAGACTTGACTCTTGGGCAAGCTCAAGGTGGGAATCAGCCCCCGCTGGCTGCCATGTTTGTGTTGCCCCAGGAAACCTTTTCAGATTGATCTCGCCATGCAGGTGGTGGTGACCTCCACACCTGACTGCTGCGATGGTGGGCACAGCGTCTGGGGATCTGTGAAAAGCCTTCTGTGGAGGACAAAAGGAGAAAAGCTGCCCGTGCACTTGACTGCGTTTGCTGAAATTTCACCTTGCCCTATGCCCCCCCAGCCTGCTAATGCATCCCTTCCGTCAAGCCTGATCGGTGTTTGCTGACGTTTTTAATGTCACTGAGCGATCTTGTATCTCTAGTGAACTGTCAGTGTAGAGCTGACTCGGGGCAGAGAGTTTATCATGTTCTTCACTTCGATTAGCTCAGCCTTGTGGGAGGGCAGCAGAAAGCAGAGGAGGCTTCTTTTGAATGCTGCAACATTTCAGATATCCCCCTAAACCATCTTGATAAGAGAGCCACCATCCCGGCTGCCAGTTCTCCTTACGTGCCTGTCATGTCGATGCGCAGAGACCCCGTGGGTTAGGACTGAGGTGCAGAACCTGAGCTACGTCGTTGGAGCTGGATGCTCGGGATGGAAATAGCAGAGAGCACTTGATGTCAGGAGCGAGGGGCAGCAGTGGAGAAATACATGCAGAAAGCAGGAGGCTGTGGGTCAAGATTTCCATGAAAAGGAAAGCTGCTGCAGCTAACAAGCTACAACCAAGCTGCTGCCCCAAGAGTATCCTCATGTAGCCTGGATAAATTCGTTAGTGCTTACTCTAACGCAAGGATCAGCTCTCATTTGTGCTCCCGTTTTCTCTTTCGGGAGCCTCTGTGGTTACGGTTTATTGTTCCAGGTCCTGCTTGAGTTAGCAGCATGGTTGGTCCCGTGATGGATCCTCACCCTGCGGGCATGACGCCAGCCCAGTGTTAGGCTGAGGCTGTGGTGCCTGTGATCCTGGAACCCTGTGCCTGTGGCCAGGAACCTGGGAATGGGAAACCTGGTGGGCAGCAAGAGTGCCAGCGCCACTGGGTTTGGGAGCACATCACGGAGGGGAGTGTGGTTTGATGGAGGGAGGAGGTGGGAGAAGGAAAGAGGGGGGGGGAACTAGATCTTCTTACAACTAGCTTGTGCAAGAAAAACATTAGAAGGATGATGAAGGTGTCAAAATGGCCAGACCAGAGGTCTAACCCAGATCTGCTCCATGCCAGCGCCCAGTAGCTGATGCTTGCAGGTGTAACAAGAAGAGCATGGTTCAAGTCAGCTTTCTCTGGTTCTCACCAATTGTCTCTTCAAGGACTGTGAACTCATAGCTGCCCCTGGACTACTGTGTCTAGCACCCACTGTTTTTACCACATCTGTCTACCAGAAACTTGTACATCTTTTTCTGAATCTGCTCATGCTTTGGTTTCTACAGCATCCTGTAGCAATGAGTTTTGCTGTTTAATTATGCATCGATTATACTCTGTTTATTCATATGTTGTGTGAAGATGCAGGTCCTTTTGTTTCTTTTAAACCTACTGTCAGATCATTTTCTTGTGCCCAGGTCTTGCATTGTGTGAAAGAGCAAATAAGTGTTTCTAGTTCTCCCTTGTGTAATTCTTGATTTGAGACCTCTACCATACTCTTGCTTAGTTGTCTCTCTTGCAGCACCGCGTAACTTGTTGGAAGGTTGGCACAAAGGTGCTTGTGGGCTCTGTGACTCTAGAACTGGGTTGTAGAAGCTATTTTTAACACCGTGTACACTATGCTGATCTTCCATTCCTTCTCTGGACGTTATGCAGTTAAAATATAACAGTGTTTGATGTAACCACTAATGGTTTGGTTTATTCCTTGTTTTTCAATTGGTATTTTATTTCTTTAAAAAAAAAAAGACAATCTTCATACCCTTCACAGAGCCGCCGCTTTCTCAGGACAGATGTCCTGGTGTGTTTGACCATCTGTGATTTCTGTTCACAGAGGGCAGCATGTCTTTAGATACAGTAATAGGGGCTGCTTTAGAAGTGACAGAAAACTGATCCTAGTTTGACATCCTCCTGAAGTCCAGGGGAGGTTTTTATGAAAGGCAAGGGTTGAATGATGTGTGTGGATGAATACACCTTCCCTTCTCTGGGCATCACGAAACGGAGTTGACAGAGCCTTGGGGAGCACAGTGGGACCATCCTGGGGGTGCCGTGGCTGTGTGCAGAGCTGGCCTTTTCCAGGC